CGCACACACACACAACACTACACACTACACACACACACACACACACACACACACACACACAACACACACACACACACACACACACACACACACACACACACACACACACACACACACACACACGTATAGTATATATATATATATATATATATATATATTCTTGTAGATACACGTACGTTGGATTATGTATATCTGCATAATGATATATCTGTGACACGCCATGTGCTAACTACTGTGTCACATAATTACTGGGGTATGAGTGTGTTGAGTCATGTGGAGGAGTGCATGGGCTGCTGTTGTAGGTATGGTACGACCACCCCAAAATCACGATTGCTTGTATACACAACGATCTACTCAAGCCGATGCTCCTGTGAATATATTGACACATCGGGAACCAGGCATATGTTTACTTGTATACTCGACTGCAATTGTTTAAATCTGTATTCTACGATATGGTTAAATTTCCAAAAAAATTGAATTCAAGTACTGATAACGGGGGTACAGGTGGACTATATGCGTTGGATCGCCTCAACGGTATACACGGTGCCTTTCCCACTTATCCCCAACCCTCGAATTCATATGCCTCCCACAGAGTCACTACCCTTTCGAGAACAATGAAATGTTCGAAAAGACTTTCCCTGCGGATTTCATTGCCGAAGGACTGGACCAGACACGCGGTTGGTTCTACACTCTGCTGGTGATCGGCACTATCCTGTTCGATAAGGTGAGACTTTCGCTGAGTGGGCGTGCTCTGTTGAGTATGTGCTTGTGGATGTATGCTTTCTCGCGTATGCATGTGAGTACATACTCTTGGCGCGTGCACATACATGTGGTGCGCATACTTCCTTGTGTGCAAGTGTAGACGTGTTCTATCGAGTGCATATATGTGAACTTTCATTTGCGAGTCTGATGTAGACCGTAGTAGCCTAAATACTCATGGTCGCTGATCACACACTACCACAGGCGCCCATACATCGGCATTGATTACAATGCGTACCAAGCTATGGCTAGCATCCCAACATACTCACACCACAAACACTCACCTATATTCCGATATAGACAATAGCGATGCACCTACCCAATCACCCACTATACTTGCACCATAATATACTCAGTATGTATGTAGGTACATGTATGCATGTAGGTGTCTGTATGTAGGTGTCTGTATGTAGGTGTATGTATATATGTATGTATGTACATGTACCGATATAGACCGTATTAGTGCATTAAACCACTGCTAGTCGCTTACCATAAACACACCCATCACAGGCATTCGTAAACCCGATTCAAACCGTAATAGTGCACCAAAACTACTGCCATTCGCTGACCACACTCCCAACACCCACAGGCGCCCATGAAGAACGTTGTCGTGAACGGTCTGGTACTCGCCGAGGACGGCAAGAAGATGAGCAAGCGGCTCAAGAACTATCCCGATCCCAACCTAGTGCTGGAGAAGTACGGAGCTGATGCGTTGCGCCTGTACCTCATTAACTCGCCCGTTGTACGCGCCGATGTGCTGCGCTTCAAGGAGAGCGGTGTGGCGGATGTGATCAAGGATGTGTTCCTGCCCTGGTTCAACTCGTACCGGTTCTTGGTGCAGAATGTCCACAAGTTGGAGGCTGAGGTGTGTGTGTGTGCGTGTGCGTGTGGGAGTGAGTGAGTGAGTGGGCGAGTGAGTGTGAGAGAGAGAGAGTGTGTGTGTATGTGTGTATATGTTATAGTACATGTGTGATATCCCAAGCGGTATTCGATATAGCATGTCGACGTGTATGTGACGCTTACGGGACATTTGTTCATACGTGCATTATTTCCAAGGAGAGTGGTATGACTGGTGTGGCCTCGGACGTGTTTATGTGATTCAACTCGTACGTACACAAATGTCCACAAGTTGAAGACTGGGGCACGTGCCTGTGTGGTATATATCCGACTGGTGCGGTCGTATTGACGCGTCAAATAGTGTGTGGGTAGAGCCTTCCCTATCTGGCCAGTGTTTCAGGTTCAGGGATGGCGCAAGATTCTTGCCCCCCGGTCATACACTATCATGCATTCCCATACACAACCTACGGACTATATCCCAAAATCTAAGCCCGGCAGTTGGTACTAAGGGGTTTAGGGTTTTTAGGGTTTTAGGCCAAGCTCGGCCGTGAGCACAAATCTAGTGCCTTGTTGATGAGCCTGTCCAACCCAACCCCCGATTTATCCCGATTTTTACACCCACACCAACCACACCCACACCAACCATCCCAATGAAGACCGACAAAGAGTACAAGTTCGACTTCGCTGCCAAGAACACGTCCGAAAATGTCATGGACAAGTGGTTGCTTGCGTCGATGCACAAGCTCATCCAAGAGGTCAACGAGGAGATGGCCGGCTACCGTCTGTACGCCGTGGTGCCCAAAGTAAGACATTGTGTGCACTTGGACTTCTTGCGAATGCATATGTAGGTGTGTACACATACACACACACACACACGCACACACGCACACTTACACACGCACACATACACACACATACACATACACACATGTATATGTATGTATGTATGTATTTATGCAGGGATGCATGCATGTATGTATGTATGTATGTATGTATGTATGTATGTAAGTAAGTAAGTAAGTAAGTAAGTATGTATGTATGTATGTATGTATGTATGTATGTATGCATATATGTATGTACATACGTACGCTACATATCTGTCCAGCTCATGGAAGATTCCACCAACTGGTACACGCCCAGTTGAGTACAAACTAAATTATATACACGCAGAAGTATAGTATACCCTTCCTTGAAACTAATAGTATCACTCCCATTCTTACACAGTTGCTCAGTTTCATTGAAGATCTCACCAACTGGTATGTGCGCCTGAACCGTCGACGTATCCGTGGCGAAGAAGGTACCGAAGACGCCAGCCACGCAGTGGGATGTCTATTCGAGACAGTTTACACACTGTGCAAGCTCATGGCTCCATTCACCCCCTTCTTGGCCGAGAAGTTGTACCAGAATCTCAAGGGTGCTCTGGCCACTAAGGAACAGGTACCTGTACAAACACACACATACGCGCACACACGAACACACACACAAACACACACACACACACACACACACACACAC